AAAGCGATGTCCGACGAACATGTCCTTGACCGGGATCATCCAGGCACCCTCATCTTTGTCACTCTTTTGCCTTTCCATCTTTACACATTGAGGAAGAGGTCTAGACATGGGCATCGGACAGCGATACCAGTTAGGTTAGGCTCTAACGTACTTGAAGGACGGACAGTGTGCCCACAGCCCGGGTGTTGTTGACGATTTCTGGGAAATGAGGCGCAGGTGATTCTGTACCAGTGGTCCTAAACGGAGTACAGGATTTCACATGTCGAAGGAATGATCCTGTTGCTTTCTTTTTCCTCGTCAAAATCTTCAACATCCACCAGATCCATGGTCGGACGTTCTGTGGGATGAGGAGACGGGGCGTGGAGGGTTTATGGGGTTCTGTAGCGGATTCCGGTGGTCCTCTTCGCATAAGCTGAATGGCTTTTCCCCTTGTTGGTCCGACAAAATCAGCTCACTCATCAGAGGCTTTTCGTGCTAATAATCTTTGTTGGAACTCGTCATGAGGCTACGCCACTATTGACTTGTACCACGTATAAGAAACGCCGCAGTCCGGCTGTTGGCGTCGACTAGATCCTTCGATGGGCACTTCGGCATGTTACTTGCCATTGAGTTCTCGTTGTGGCTTGCAGTTCATCTTGGGTAAACTGAAGTTGCATGCGACCATCACACAGGTTCGTTTAAAGTTCCCTGCCCATCCGTAGCATCCGGAGGCCCGTCTGTGCGCCCTGGGGCCCGTCGTTCTTTGGGCCCTAATCTCACCACACCACTACAATATCGTCCGCCTTGTGGTCACTTTGCGAGGACTTGAGGGGGGCTTTGTGGGCTTGGGGGCTGTTGGCGCCAACGTCCCGTTCTGGTTCCCGCTCCCGCCAACTCAGTTTGGTGGGATGTCCGTCTGTTCTCGTTGCAACCACCCGGCCGCGATTGAGATCTGACATCCGATGCTGCTCGAGGTCAGTGATGGTGACGAAGTGTCCGACATCCAGTGTACCTAAGGTAAGGTGGTATCCTGGCTGAACTAGGTGAACAGATAACCCGTCCAAACGGAAAAGGCAGCCCGTTACTTTAGTCACCGAGATACTCTCCTGATGCAGTCACTCGATAGAGCTCTCGGTCAACGGCGCTGAGCTTCCTTTCTGGGCAGCGATGTTCGCTGCGTGGTGTGTGCGGATTGCCTCCAGGAACCGCACTTGGCATTACCCAAGTTCTGTGGTTCTCCTAGGTGGTTTTCGATGAAGATATGCAGGCCTCAGGGCAAAGAATCCTCCTTCGCTAGGCCTTCCCGATTTAGGCATCCTGATGAGGTAGACAAATATTGTAAATGATCGAAGGATTGTGATCCCACGCACCCAAGTCTGCTTGTCAAATTGTCCAATGGATAACCATGGGTGCCATGGCATCCCGGCAGCAGAATGGTACTGCTCATGAAAGCTGGCGAGCTACGCTCCGTGTACCATCGGCCGAGACACCCTTCTGAGGGATTTTCCCCTCCCCCTCTCTCTGTGTGTTCTTCGGTCGGACACTGGCGCCCGCCGCGGGTAGCCGGGATGAAGCACTACCAATGCAAGCATCCCTGTCATCAGCAACAGCTTAAGATGAAGTTGCTGCGGTCTAAGTCGGAAGAGGCTGGTGTTCTTTCACCTGAACATGGCGGAGATCTCGAAGAGAAATTTGCAAGTACGTAACGACGGGCGGTTCAGTAGACCGACAGAATACGAGCTACGAGCCACAACCTGACTGTTTTAGCAAAACTTCTATCTTATTGACGTTCGACCGCCAGTTCATGGCACTGACCAACCAAGATCTCGGCCGGTCTGCGACGAAGGACGGGGATGTGTGGCAGGACGAATGAAATCAACCCCATCTATGTACATTACGGGAACGTTCGTCTGTGAGATTGATCCATGTGCAGCAATTGTGACGAAGGCTGGCATTAATGGCAACCAAAGAATTGTGCAACGCCGATCTTGTCTGTCACCGAATCTTCTGTCGCCTCAGCTGCGCATCGCAGGTCGATAAGAACAGACACCGCGCCTCTTCAGGAAGATCAAAGCCTACCTTAAGGAGTAAAGACGCCTTTGAGACCTAGAACACGGGTCAGCAGAACTGCGCACCACCGCACCTCACAAGGATGCTTCTGTATGAGATACCCTCCCCTCCCATACTCGTGTTGGTGACGACCAGGGCCCTGCAAAAGTTCTTCGATCTCGTTATTCCCGGCTGAAATCCTGCTGGTTCTGTCATGATCTCAGCATGCTTCTCTAGGCAAGTCATCGCTAGAACTACGCGAACGACGTCAGATCCTACCTTACCTGAGCCAACCGTCGATGTTACCAGTCCATCCGCCATGTTTACTATCGTAACTCACGGATCGGTGGCCAAGTCTACGGCGACCACACACCAATAGCGATAGAAATCATTGACGTATCGAATTTGATTCAGTTCAACCAAGACACAAGGTCAAAACAAACCCGCCTGCGCCACCGACCCGGGCCGTATCCTCAGCGGCCGGCTTGAACGGCGCAGCACCCGATATGAAGAAATAGCGCCAACCCACCTCACCGTCCGGGGCATACTCGCCAGCGGAGCCGAAGCTGTCAGGCCCACTGGACAGCGGAGATTAGAGTGTCGAAGCCATCGAATATGGATCTCGCCTTACGCAGTTGTGCGGCCCAAAGAGGCACGGCGTCATGACTGGCTTCGGTCTTCCTCCATCCCTACCTCTCACCCTCCCTCCCTCCCTCACTTCTCCATCTTTTCTGTGCATATTGCAGCTATTCCATGCCTTGCATGCCCGCCATGTGCTCCAACACACGTGTTGGTTCCCGGCAACTTGTCCGAGCTACCATCGCAATATAAACAGACGGCGCCCATCCTGGGTTACAAGTCGCGAAATGATCTTCCGCTCGCACGCACCAGGTGTTGGCACTTTGCTCAGGTCAACGGGTATCTCTGGCAGAGTTGAAGTCGAGTTGTCATCGCTACTAAGTAAGTAAGCTTCACTTTGCGTCAATCCCTCAATCGAAGCCAGCCCAAGTCTATGCGGTCTGGTAGAGTCTTGCTGCGGTCGCATTCCATAATGAAGTTGTTTGAAACTTCATGATGAATAGGATTCTGTTTGTCCGTTTATTTGATTGTCTGGTTGTCGCAGTGGTAACCTGGCTGTTACACACCTCCGTCGGGTATCCACATTGCCAATGGCACGATGAGAGTTCTAATGCGGCACTTCACCCAGTATCCACGTAGCTGACCCTACCTAGGTTCGTCAGAATGAAGGTCTTCTCCGTCATCACCGCCCTCACCGCGGCGGGCGTCGCTCTCGTGTCCGCCCAGGGCACAATTGACGACAACTCCGACTCCTTCCCCGAAGACCTCAACGGCTCCAACTTCACCTACCCATGGCCCGTCAAGTTGTACAAGTTCACCTCCCAGCTGCAGGAGCTGGAGATGGCCTTCATGGACATCAAGCCAAAGTGCGCTCCCAATGGAAAGACTGCCGTCCTCTTCCATGGCAAGAACTTTTGCGGCCCGACGTGGGAGACCACCATCCGCGTCCTCGCTCAGTCCGGCTACCGCGTCATTGCCCCGGACCAGATCGGCTTCTGCAAGTCATCCAAGCCTGAGCGCTACCAGTTCTCTCTACAGCAATTCGCGACCAACACCAACGGACTCTTGAAGACCCTTGGCATCGAGAGCGCTACCGTCATGGGGCACTCCCTCGGCGGTATGCTCACTACCCGTTACGGTCTGATGTTCCCCGACGAGGTCGACGAGATGGTCCTCGTCAACCCCGTCGGCCTCGAAGACTACAAGGCGCTCGGCGTCCCCTACCTCCCCATCGACGACAACTACGTGACGGAGCGCGCCAGCTCCTACGCCTCTATCAAGGGATACGAGCAGGCGACCTACTACGTCGGAGAGTGGAAGGACGAGTACGACACCTGGGTCAACATGCTGGTCAACATCTACAAGGGTTCCAAGGCCGACACCTATGCGCTCAATCAGGCCCAGATCGTCGACCTCGTCCTCACGCAGCCCGTCAGCTACGAGTTCTCTCTCATCAAGCCCCGCACCCTGCTCATGATCGGCGAAAAGGACAACACCGCCATCGGAAAGCAGTGGTCTCCTCCCGATGTCGCTGCTAAGCTGGGTAACTTTGCTGCCCTCGGTCCTGCTGTTGCTGCCCAGATCCCCAACGCGACTCTTCACACCTTCCCCACGCTTGGCCACGCGCCTCAGATCTCCCAACCAGAGGAGTTCCATGACGCGCTTGTTGCCTGGTTGTCCAAATAGATAGGTAGTCAGTGAAAGGGGCGCCTTAGACGGGGCTCGGCGAAGAGTGCACTTAAGAAATATGACATAATATCGTAATGCCTACACACAAACTTACAGTCTTGACTAAGGTACCTGATAGACTACAAGAGACGTTCCAACTGGATCGCCGAAGAATCAAAACAGCCAAGATCGACCCTGAGTGCTTGAATCTGCGATGAGCAACACCAGTGACAGAGGTTCAATCAGGAACTGGCAACGCCCAATGAGGAATGTCCACATCATGAATCGAGGGACTAAGCATGATGACTTTTTCGGCAGGCTCTAAGAAATGTGCCGGTCAGCAGCAAAGTGCATTCTTCCTGCATCTTCTACTCGCCGAGGCCAGGTTGGGGCTGGGCTTACACCGAACCACATTTTGGAAGTACCCAATCACGACCAAGCTGCCCAGAAACCAACAGTCTGCTTGATGCCGCACGCGGTGGAGGGAAAAGCTGAATCGGATTTCGGGCCAGTCCAATCAACAGTCGCATTTACTCTGTATGCCGCCTCGTGTGCCCATGTATTTGAACCTCAAGTAAATCCATGCGAAAGCATGGGACATATGCTTTCCACATCTCGCTATCGAAATTCCCTCCATACCGTAGCCCAGACTCAGGGAAGATCATTGAATCCATCTTTCTACCCCCCAAAAGACCTTGTATGCTGTGCGTTCTGCTTCTGCCACCATGTCTCATAGGCAACGGCATCCTGTGATCAGTGAGGCAGAGTGGGAGCGGGTAAGATCTGTCATTCAACGACTGTATCTACAGCAAGATATGGCATCGACCTTCGTGTTGACGGCACTCAGGACCATGCACAAATTTCACGCATCGTAAGTCCTACCCTACCACCAAGGAATCTATGCACAGTGCAACGTCAAATCGAGGTACTAAGATTCTCATAGCAAAGCTCAGTTAGAATGGAAACTCAAGGAATGGCACATGTTCAAGAACATGTCCGCCCAACAATGGAAGTGCGTCGATGTCCGAGTTCGCGAGCGACTAAGCCGCGGGAAGAGGACCAGTCTGTATCTCTCTGGAATCCCATTGAGGCCTGCGGCGGTGAAGAAAGCAAGAGCGCGGCACTGTCATACATCAGTTGTGGAGAAATTCAAACCACGTAAGAACTTTCGACTTCTCATGTCCCGGAGATGGATCAAACATGATCATGATGGTTCTCCTATGCTCTGTCCTCTCACTGAATGTTTTCCAGCCATGCCCACGCCATCGTTACCTAGGGACTTTCCACTGATAATCCGAACTCCATCGCCTATCAAAGAGGCTCGATATTCCTGTGCCATACAGAATCTGCCTTGGTTGCAGTGTCAGCAACTCTTGAGCGGTATGTTCGAGTTATAGCTTGAGGCAATGCCTCCCTGAGATCCGGCCTGCCTTGCTCATATAGATACACAGCTTTGACAATAAACGTGCCTATACAAAGCAGTATCTTTCCATCTGCCACGATTCTTGTGGGCAGAGAACTGGGTCGCATTACCTTACAGCGAACACAACCACTGGATTATATGCCAACCCTTCAGCAGACCTTTCAGAGCCTTTACCTTCTGATGCCTGAGAGAGCGGCAGACAACCATGCTCGCACAGCGACTAATCTCATTCAACGTTCGTCTTCCGGGTGCGCAAACCCCGATGTCTTAGAAACCTTGGTCTTTCTTCTATCCAATGGTTTCTACAACTACTTGGCTGAAGAACCTCACGAGCGAGACATGATCAACGAAGCGGTTTTGACAATGTTTCGGACTATTACTGCATGGAACCTACTAGTATCACGCCAATTGAAGACTCTCCCAATCAGCCTTCAGGCTTCATTGTGTCAGATCTTCAAAAAGGCGGTTCTAGCTTCGGACCTTGCCATCATCGAGTCTCTGGCATTAGCCGGGATCGATGTCAATCTTCCTCTGAGAGGCCTACCTATACCTACGTCCGCCAGATTTTACAGCTGTCATCTGAGAGCAATTCATTGGGCTGTTTATATGCTCAATATCCCCATGGTCGAGCTCCTGATAAAGCTTGGCGCGTGCAGTCATTCAGTCGACCTTGAAATGCTTCGGATTGTTTTTGTGGCAAAGCCTTACCCAGCCCGAGTCGTTCGTGAGCCCTCACTCGACGCCGTGACGAGATGGGTACTGTCCATCTATCGATACCAAGAAGATGACGAGATCGCGTCTCGCGTCTTTCTGAACGAACTTGGGTCGAAAACTCCTTCCTCCGCGACAGAGCTTGTCCTGGAATTTTTCGAATCGAAATTCAAAAGTGCCACCTCACTCGCTCAACTTCTCATCACTTCTGTCAAAACGACCAGTAAATCTGTCTTTGACTGGGCTCTCAAGCACCAAGGCTGTCTCAACTACATGAACTACGTTGGAGAGTCGGTCCTAGGGGTTGCAGCTTCTAGGAACAACTATTCATTGTGTGAACGCCTGTTGGAGCTCGGAGCAATACCAAACCCTGTTGTCGAAGTCGGCTCCCTCGTTTTCACCACGCCACTTCAATGCGCCGCAGCCAGTGGCGATACAAGACTCATCAAACTCTTGTTGGATCACGGTGCTGAAATCAATTTCTGTCAAACCCTTGCAGGAGATTATGCCGAAGGCCCTCGCCGCTACCGAAAACGCGAGGTGATTACCTGGGACTTCACCCATGAAATCATATTAGTAGGCCAATTGGGTAGAACCCCATTACAAGCAGCTCTATCTTGCAGCAGCGAAGAGAACGCCCTGTTCCTACTCTCCTGCGGGGCAAAACTATTCGGGGAAGAGCTAGCGATGTCGATCAGAACTCGCCTGGCCTCCTCAACAGAGCAGATACTGGCACTTGGGGCACCGCTCACCGCACCAAGTCTTCTTAACGAGCTATCACCTCTCGAAGCCGCCATATTGGTCCAAGATTCTCGGATGGCTCTACAGATCATAGGTTTAATGGACGCGGCCGAGTTCTCGACAAGGACAGTCTTTGCAGCTGTGTATATGGCCGAGTATTCATTTGACTGGGTCCTGTTCCACAAGCTTTTAGAGTTGAGCAAACATGCTCAAGTTCCGACCAGCGAACACCATTGGCTCGGATTAGCGATGTGTCTCGCAATGAGATTTGGCGTCGATGATGTGGCCAATGAAATTCTTATGACAGGACTGTGTCCTCCACAAATGACGTACCGAGGTTTGGACCCCGAGATGTTCGTACCTTTTCACAGGCCCCCCAAGGTGTCTTTACAGCGGTACGAAGAGCTATATCTCGAAGCGATTGACGAGGAAACGCGACAGGTTCAGAAGCATCAGCCAGCAACCTTTCATGCGCTCTTATCTTCACCGAATTGCGTCGCCAGATTGGTGCAAAATGGCCACCAATTCAACGTCGATTGTTCATGTGTTGCTGACAATCCACATGCCCTGGTTATCATCCCCCTTCTACAAAGAACCAAAGCCACACTGGACAGGGTGCTTCTAACGAGAGCTATTCTTAGAAAGTCTACCGCGGTTATGGAGTGGTACTTGTCGTCTGGCATCGGTGTCAACACCGTGCACTGGCGTGAGAGTGAAAGAATCTGTGGAACACCGCTGAAAGCTGCTGCCGCTGTAGGCGACATCGCCCTCGTGGAGACTCTTGTACGAATGGGCGCCGATGTCAATGAGTACCATGAGGACTTCTTATGTCATCCGCCGTTGACAGAGGCAGCTATGAGGGGTTTCTTCGGCGTTGTGAAAAGATTGCTAGAATTGCATGCAGATCCAGACATCCCAGGCGGAGCGTGTTTCGCGCGAACTGCGCTAGAGGCGGCGTCAGAGAATGGCCGATTAGACATCGTGCAGCTCCTCTTTGACTCTGGCGTCTCAACTGAAGGAACCGGCCGTCTCCAGTACATCAGAGCTGTTGTGTTAGCGCGGAAACGAGGGCGCCTCGCCGTTGAAAGGTTGTTACGGAGCTTTCGACGTTGGGATAAACCTGATCATGAGCTGTTTGACGAGACGTACAACTTGCCGGATTATTACTTTGAAGGACTCGTGGGGGATGAAGGCGACTCTTCTGACAACGAAGATCTCCAAGACAATCTTGAGCCCCTACAGCAATTGCCCGGGTATGACGTGGAAGCCGAAATGATAATAAAGGCAGCAAGTGAAACTATCAGAGAGGAGGCGAAATCTGATGACCTGGCGTTGCCGTCAGAAGTGGCATTGCTGATCAAAGACATCGAGAACAACGAAAACAGCGAAGACAGTAAGGCTAGCGATCCGGACACTTCCTCTCGCGGCGAAATACAGTACTTGCAAGACATTACAGGTACTAGGTGCTCAGAGGTTAATGGAGCGTTGTGCAGGGCTGATATTTGCAGTTTACACGATGATCAATGTTGGGAGGGTATTAGCGACGACTGGCTGGAGAAGTATGTTTGTTTCCCATCGGAGACACCTTCACTTGATTAGAATACCTTGTCGTCTCTCCTCTCATGGTTTTTTTCCCAATCCAATTCTACGTCATTAGTCACAAACATATTCTCTGGGCTCAAAAATCACAGCGATGATATTGGGATTATGTCGCAGTGCGCGTTGATCACTCACGTCACGGTAGACCTTGGCAGTATCAAATCAGGCAAAGATATCATCTTCTCTATTTCGAAAACAATCTGGTTCCCATAAACCGTACCTGTCTCATGCTGCATGCAGCAGCAGCAGTCACAGTCGGCCGCGGATTTTCTCCACCCGGTTCGACAGGACGACAACTCAACGGAGACACACCTCCTAGACCATCCCCATCTCAATCCTTCGGCCCAACTCCAAATTCGCGAGTCTCATACAGACTTCCCACAGTGACGCCCCTCTTCTCGGCAACCATACCCATCAGTTGCTGCCCCACATCCTTGATCTGGTTGTACTGCCGCAGGAGCTTGACGTGTTTAGCAACCACGGCCGATGCCTCCTCGAACTCTCTGTATGCGAAGAAACATTAATAAAGTCTCTCATTGAGTTTCAAACTCGTCAAGAAACAGTTTTACGAGGGAAAACAAAGTCCAAACGCGTTGTGGCGACTTACCTTTCTTTTTGACTATCTTTATTCATTGGTTTTGAATGACAATCCATGGAATCTCCAATATTTTGTGTCATTTCGGGCTGTATATCTCTGTACACAGTCTCCTGTGTCTCTTTGAAAAACCCTCAGCCTGGAGACTCCTAAATTTCAATTTAGCGATCAAATGCCTGCTGTATGATGAAGCAACGGCACTTATTGAGCAACTCAAGGCGCGTCTTGATGTTGCCATGAAGTCGAAGCACGGACCACAAACATACACCCAGCTCACTCAGCCTCGCGTTGGTAAGCACAAACAGCACCTGCTGCTTCCTTTAGAGCAGGTGAACAAAAAGTGGACAGATACACGCAATAAGATTCAACAAACTTTGATGCTCACTTAGAAAAATTGTACATTACAACTGCATCACAGGACGTCATTCACAATTGGCAAAGGTTAAGATTGTAGCCGGGAAAGCCAAAAGATTGGACGATCTGGGAATCGAACCCAGGACCTACCGCATGCTAAGCGGTCATTATACCACTAAACCAATCGCCCATTGTTGAAGCAGCTGATCTGATGTGCGCCCATGTAGCAAGAAGCCCGGGCCGCGCTGCGCAAGGAGAGGCTTCGCCCGAAAGAGGGCCGTCCTCCTTTCTGGCCTGCGCGTTGACCTCGGCGCCGCTCGATGACCTCACCTGAAGGGTTCAAGGGCCGTCAATCAGCGAACGGCTCATGACTTGCAGCTGCAGCCGGAACCCACGTCTACGAGAAGAGCCTGTCACTCAGGCAAACAGCTACTCCGCCTCGATTTTCACAGGAGCCTCGCCATGTGAGTTCTGGGGCACACCGAGCTGGACCCTCGGACGATAAGATTGTGCCGTGAATTGGCGGCGGGTCTCTTAGGACTTGGGATAAGATAGGGCACACCAACGCGTCTTGTCGCGAACATGTCACGTTTACTAAGTGCCGTCGCGGGTGTGCCAATATCCAATCTGCACTCCTGAGATGAGAGTGCTCAAGATTCGCGCGTGGAACCCTCTTTTGAGTGCGACGGAAGGTTGCTTTCCTCGATGTTCCGTCATCGATCATTTCACTTTCTCACGACCTTTGAGCAAGAAAGATCGCAACATGCACTTAATCAGCATACTTAGATCACCGAAATATCATCATTTCACATGAAGTCTTCATGATTGTAATGCAATTACTTCTCTAAGCACAAGACGCCTCGCCAAGGTTCCCCTCCCAAAATGCCGTGGTATACTTTTCTTCTTCATAGTTCTTTTTTGTTCCTTTGATTTCCGTCTGCTCTTCTTCGAATATCGCCTCATCTGGGACTACGGGTTGTTCGTCCAAGGGGGAAACCCTGGGGAAGGGGGTGGTGGGGGATTTGAAAAAAAGAAGGATGAGACTGGGGAGGCCATCGATCGATAGGATGAATGTTGTTGAAGTGTGTGATATCAATTCCCATATAATTCAGAAAGCCAAAACCCCAAAATCTTTTTACGGCAACCACCATTAAAAAGACAAAGTACACCATAAAAAAAGCCCGTGGACATGAATCATCTTGATTGAGTGTTTGTGTTGTGACTTATTGCGAGAAAAGGGGGTCTTTGGTTGGTGCGTATTTGTGTGCTTTTGGTGGTTGAACCGAATTTACCGAAAACACCGAGAACGGCGGCGCGGGGGGGTATTGAACAGGATGATGATGATTTTGCAAAGCGAAGCCTTTTCGGACTCACTCCATAAAAACTCTCTTCTCTCTCGTTTGGGACCCCCAAAATCATCTCTTATTTTTGAATTCCCCCCCTTCCAATGACCAGCCCATTTGTGCCATCAGCAAAATGAAGAATTTCCCTTGTGAACCGCCCACGCCAATCTAATGAGGAAACGCGAGGAAGAGGACAGAAATGCGCGAGAAATCACCCTCCGAGTCTTTTCATTTTTGGTCGGACTATCGTGTGGGTGTTGGTGGTGGGTATGGTGGCGGCTCAACGGGGATAAAGCCTTTCCTCCTCTCCTCCTCCATTTGCCTCAAGATAGGGCCAGGTCCGAAAAGAATCGACGTCGAAAAGGGATTTGTCGACTACGTTTAGTAGCCGAAGGCCTCGAGGGCCTGCGCCGTCTTCTGGTCGACCTTGGCGTTCTTCTTCGCGTCGGTGAGCTGGCGCTGAGCGACCTTCTTGCGCTCGTAGTAGGCAGCACCCTTGGCCTTGCGGCGCTCCTCGAGTCTGGGGGGTTTGTCAGTATTGAGGAACCCAGGGCTAGGTCCATTGTGGGAGGTACATACCTGGCAACGACGTCCTGGTACTTCCAGCCGACCTCGTGGGAGAGACGGCCAACGGTGCAGAACTTGCGGCCGGGCTGCAGTCTCAGGACACGGAGGGCCTGGGGGACGACCATCTTCTTCTGCTTGTCGTAGGGAGGGGGAACACCCTCGAAGACCTTGAGGCGCTCAAGAGCGGCGGCACCGCGAGCAGTCTTGTGGGGGATCATGCCACGGACAGTCTTGTAGAAGATACGCGACGGGGCGCGGAAGTGGAAGGGACCTATAGCGGTCAAGTCAGACATTTGAATGTCCTCGAGTTGAGTATCTCAGCTAGGAGACAGAGCAGAGCCCGGATGTATATGTGTGTATGTGTGTTGGCTTACCACCGCGAGTCGGGTTGTAACGGGTCATCTTGCGCAGGTAGGCGTGGTACTTGACTATAGCCATTCATCAGTATATGTTCGATCGGTTCGGGTTGTCGGCACCGCAAGTCTTTGCATGTTCCCAGTGGTGTTTCCTCCTCTTTTGACAGACTGGGTGTAGCGACCGATGGGGGTAGGGTTGAGAGAGAGTCGACATACGCTTGGCACGGAAGAACTCGCCAGAGATGTTGAGGGCCTCGGTGCGGACAACGACGATCTTCTGGCCGTTGAGAAGCTGCTTGGCGACGATGGAGGCAAGACGACCAAGGAGATGGCCCTTGCCGTCGATGACGACCTGTAGAGAGGGCTGGAGTCAGCGATCTGCATCTCCAACAATGTATTCGCGGTCGGCCGATGAGAAGATTCGGGATTGACTGTTGAAGCGCCGGCGACAACAGCGGCGGCGAGCTGAAATAGCGGAAGCAGCGTTGACGTGAAGACGGGCTGCAGTCAAGTGCCATTGTTCCATCGCATGGTGTTCCTCGCTCCTACAAGTATCCCGAAATTCCTCATCGTCGATATTCCGCGGCTCCCATATATCTCGAAATGGGAACCCCAAAAGATAGTTCGGTAAAGACTCACCACCGGCTCGAAAGAAGACATCGTTCCTGTTCCTTTAAAAACACCGGTTCGCGGTGTTCTGCTGAAAAAAAGAAGGAAAAGGGGGATTCAAATCTCTGGGCGGAATGGGTGCCTCTGTAGAGATTTGGTCTGCTGCCGTTGGGTTAGTATTGTCGGAGGGTGAGTTTTGGAAGAAGCCGTCGCGACAATCTTGAAATCGGGGCGGGCACACAACTGGGAAGGGGACAGGTCAATGAGAAATTTACACACGCACACACAAAACCCCCCAATGGCACGCCAGGAAAACGAATGGCGCTAGCCCTTTGTGGCAAGGCAGTCTCCATCACAAGCGAGGGTTGGAAGTGGGGCCTGAGGCAGCTTAGGGCTGCAAAGACCTACCAGAAGGCGCGTATCCTCTCAGCGCTTCCAGTGCCCACAGCGTTAGGTTTCTGCTGACTCACCTTGACTTTTCAGTGCGGGCTCACCTCGGTGTAAGGTATGTGGCGGGGCATCCGCTGGCGGCCAGACCCCAATCGACGACTCACCTTGCCCACGTCTGTCACTGCCGCTTCCATTCCCTAGGCCGGGCAGGAAATAATACCCGATACCGGATCAATCGATAACGGCCTCCTCTCTGTCACATGAGATAAGGACACCCGTTGACTAAGCTAACGACGTCAAGCATGGCACAATTGTTCAAACGGGAGACCAGGATATCCCCACGACTGGACCTCGTCGACAACGTCACGCTGCAGCCCTGCTTCAATGACAGAATGCGGCTATTCCAAGATCCAGTTCCAGGTCCAGGACTTGGAAGGCTGTGCTCGTATGCATCATGTGCGCAATGGATGGAGTGAAGATCCCAGTACACTTGGGTTGTTTTTGCAGTTCCTGTCTACGGCGTGCTATGCGCCTGTCTGTCTGTCTCTGTCTCTGCTCCTCGTCTCTGCTCCTCGTCTCTGCTCCCCATTGCCTAGCATCATCTTCGGCTCAAGCAATGGCCATCGTTGTACAGCATCCCATCTCAAGCTGTCCCTAACGCCCATCGCATCCGCCATTTTACGCGGCATGCCTCTAGATGCAAATCTCGCTTTGATAAAACATGCAGCTTGACTGAATAGAAACCCTCCACAAATGCTCATCTAGAAGAATTCAACGGAAGTAGGCCGTTATTAGTAAACAAACGTATTGCAGAAACAGCAGGCACCCCCCAAATGACGCCCCAATTCGCTTCTTTTATGCCTTGAGCCTCGCGTCAAGGCGCTTCAGGACATCCTGAACGGTTTGGACCAAGGCTTTTCTCTTCATTCTCGCGTCCTGGTCGCCTTCCGTCTCGACCTCGTCAAGCTTCAGAAGCACATGTTGCATCGTCGTCTCGGACAGCTTGCGATGCTCCTCCTCTCTCTTCTTGGGGTCTGTCGGGGGCGAGGCGATGTAGTCCTCACAAGGCTGGCGAAGATCCGCCTCGAATTTTGCTGCAATGGCATCGAGCTTGGCGTGAGGGCCGTTGGCCTTGCTGGGGGAGGGCGAGCTTTGTCTCTCCTGACCCGGGACGCCGAGATTTGATGCGCTATCCCGCGGGCTGGTATTGCTGCTTCGCTTCTTGGACTTGCGACCCTTCTTCTTGCCACGGCGCTTCTTGCCGTCATCGGTGCCGCCGTTGCTGCCCACAGCGCTGCCGCCATCGCCACCTACGACTACCATTTCCTCGTCCGAGTCGTCGCTGCTCTCAGCGTCCACCTCGCCCTCGGGCAGCACCACCATGACTTCGCTGTTGTTCTTGACACCGTAATCCCGGACGGGCGCAGCGGGCTCCTTGAGCTGGCGGCCCTTGTAGAGAAGCTTGACGCGGCGTCCACGTCTCTCGGACAGCTCCAGCAGGACGCTTACTCGGTCCCGAACATCGCGGACGCGCAGCTTGCCGTCGCCAATGGCATACGCGGGGAAGTGGGCGGGGTAGGTGATGCCCTTGTTCTTGATGAGAAGAATGTCGTCGTCGGGAACGCTGCCACGGGATCGGGGGTTGTGGGCGTAAGATCTCGTCGGGACAGAGCTACCAAGAGAGGTTGACTGCAGGTCCTCTGTAGTGATGTAGCTAAAGTCTTCGTCCGTAACGTCGGGAACACCGCTGAGGGTGGAGCCGTAAGGGGATATTTGTTCCCGATTTGTCGACCAGCCGTATCGAGACATGGTGAAGGGGACTGCGAGAAGGATGCAGCCAATGGTGGAGTAGAGGATGAGGTTCGGATCGATGCCGGTGGTGTCGGAGATGTATCCGGAGTAGTTGGCGATAGCTTTGGCTAGGCTGGCGATGGACTTGTCGAGATAGACCTGGAGGGTGGTGGGTAACAAGGCGGTGATGTTTTGGAGTGCACCAGAAGATGCCAGAAGAGGCTGACTGGAAGCCACCTTGGCGGGAGTAGGCGGTCCTTAAAGCTAAGGACGCTGAACCGGGAGAGAGAAAAAAGTGGATGAGAAGGAGGGGGAGGGGGTGGAGGAGAGAAGAGGTGAAGTGAGGCAAGGTCGAAGGCGACAGCAGTGATTGGTATCGTGGCGGATGGGAGTGAAATGTTGATCGTGGGCGTCGGGTGCCGTGGGGATGCCCTCGTCTGGAATTTTCCGACTCGCGGGGTTCGAAGATCAGGCCGTTCTGCAGCAAGGCAGGTCGTACAGTACGGCGCAAGTACGGCGCAGGCTCTGGTAAGGTCCTTGGAAGGGAAAGGAGTCGACACAATGCAGCAGCACCAAGAGAGAAGAAGGCTGCAGAAGCAGTGGGGTAAAGGGAAATAAAATAAAGATAAAAGAAGACGAGCTGTTCTCTTCTGTTCGATTCGGGGTGCTTGGCTGCTTGGGTCGTCGAGAGTTTCGATCCGGCTCCAACTGGCGTGGACGATCACCAGCCTGGGTCAAGGATCCAGGTGGTGGCTCGTTGGCTTTGGTGAGGCTGTAGAAGCAGGACTGGAAAGAAGGCAATGCGCTGTCAGCTTTTGGGGTTCTGGTGGGTGGTGGATGGGCGAAGAGGCGATGATGAGGGCGGCGGGCAGGGATGCGACGAAGCGTCCGGTTCTGGGTGAGCGAGCGAGTGAGCGAGTGTGGTCTGCGTGAGGAGTGGTTGTGTGTCAAAGGTGGCCCTACGGAACTCGGAGAGGATGACGGCAGAAAGTTGGGGACGACGGCGAGAGGTGAGTGGTCGGAAGTGATGGTGTTGCGTAAGGTTGCGCGATGGTGAAGCGTGGAAGTGGATGTGGAGGGGAGGTTCTAGAAAAAACCTGGCAGGTCGCAAAGGCAGCGAATGACGGGGATGCGCGCCGAGGAAGGACCCGGTGTCATTGGCCGGGCCGAGAGACGGTGCCACGGGTCCTTTCTGCGCTTCGAGCTGTCACGATAGATAGACGTACCTTTTGTTACTTTGGTTATCAGGGATTCGCTGACTGGTAATGGTTTGGATATCAGGTTGAGAAGGACCAGTTGATAGAGGTTTCAAATACTTTCTTGTCTAGGCAAAACTGCGGCAAAGAGGACACGAAGCCTGCTTGGGAATGGCTTGGTGTTTGCAAATACTTAGGTAACTCTCACCAGTCCTCGAGGATTCTCTGCACGACGACAACTGGGGCAGGCGGGATCAGCAATTGGCTGCGACTCGGCGAGCAGCCGATACTTCCAGGGACCCGGGAATAATCCCGTCTGACTTTCAAACCCAACCCAGCAGCCATGCCCCGTCCACAACGTTGACCCATTTACCTGCCGTGTACTCCGTACCGGGCAGTCATCATGAACCTCGAGACGTGTGCTGCGCTGTAAGGATGCCCGAGGATGCGGTCAGGCGCTAGACGCGGGTAATAATTGTGGGTGATGCGGATAGATCGATCCCCCAACTTGGGTATGATAGCCTCATTCCCTCAGCCTCCCATGTGGAATCTTGGGTGCATTCGTGTTTTCATTAACCATAGAAAGATGGTGGTGTTCGTGAAGGTACCTTACGTAGAGTACCTACCTAAGGTACCTAGGTATTGACAGAAACACGAGATGCACCGAAATCCAGGGTCCTCTTATCTTTATCTTATCCTCATCCCAGGGCGGTTATCTGAATGCTTACCTCATCTTACGACAGACCCTAGGTACTCGAGGCACAAGCCTGTCTCTGATCCCTCCATTTGCTCTCCGGCGCTGAGGTGAGCTCATTGCCCATTTTGAATTAGCCTCTTCGCATCTCTTTTCTTCGCCGAGGTCATCAAATCATCTCCGGTGCAGAATCTCGCTGTCGACGGGTGGCTCTCAAGAGCCCGAACAAAGCTGACAAACCTCAGTACACCTACGGGTACCTAGAAGGTGTAACACACGCCGAGGCAGGTGAGCTTCGGGAGAGCCGGTGTCTTATAAATCGGGTCTTTGCTCCCAAAGGTATCGAAATTTGGAAGCCACACCATGGTTGTACGGTTACACTAAACTCTGTGACCTCCACCTTCTAGAAAACTCGGCTTTTGCTACCAGCTGCGTCGCAGTCTGGAACCTCACAGTCTACCTCTTAGGTAATCAGAGTCCCGATTGCATCATCCACTCCCGCCGCCTTCGGCCCCGAATTGCCTTTTCCCTTCGTTGCAAGCCCCGTCCCCGTCGCAACTAGACTGAACCGCATCCAGCTCCAGCACAGCACCAGCACAAGCACCCAGCACCCCGCCCCTACCTGCTGCATTGCGACACTTTGCCTGACAAATTACCCCCCACCTTCTGTCCATCCCCGTCGCCTGCTGCATTTTATTATATCATCGCCCCTGCCCCTCCTTCCACCACTCTTCTCCCTCCGAAATGGCATCACTATTCAGACGTCTCTTCTCCTCATCTTCGACATCACCAGCAAATATGGCCGCCACCAAGCAAAAGGTTCAGTCCCTCATCGACGACAACAAGGTCGTCGTCTTTTCAAAGTCCTACTGCCCCTACTGCCGCGCCACAAAGTCCGTCCTCGACGAGATCAACGCCGACTACACCGTCCTCGAGCTCGACCAGATTGGTTAGTCTTTCCCATTCACCTACCAACACTAGCACCCAGACAACTTACTGACACCAATACAGACGACGGCAGCGCCATCCAGGACGCCCTCCACGAGATCACCGGCCAGCGCACCGTCCCCAACAGCTTCATCGCCCAGAAGCACATTGGCGGCAACTCGGACCTGCAGGGCCTGCTCAAGGGCGGCAAGCTCGAGAACCTTCTCAAGGAGGCCGGCGCTCTCAAGGCGTAAGGCACCCATTTTCGTCCTCGGTTCAGAGAGAAAGACAGAAAGAGGGGGCAGACATTGTGTGTTTGATTAGAAATCGGTTGGAGAATGCATACAGCACAGAACACGCTGACGGCTCGACTTCAAGGCCGTCCAAGTTGTAGCTGTTGCTGCACAATCGTTCAACCCGGTGGGAGTGAGAATGGTGGACGATGATATACCATGGGCTTAAAGGCATAAAGATGGGTGCTTAGAGTCTCAAAATACAAGTTTCCAAGAAATGACATTGGCCTTCCTTTTAGCGAGGACCGCGTCTAGTGTGTTGTACATTTTGAGCCGTGACTATTTTCAACTAATTCTACAAATTTCTCTTCATTCCCATTTTTTACACAACCTGCGCGGCAACAGTACCGACAGGCCTCTCGACAAACTCCATGACGCCATCGATAATACTCTCCCTCGCCGGCGGCGAAGCTACCTTGCTGCCCGCAAGCCAGTTGAGCCATAGCAGCCTCGACACGCGCTCATCCTGCACCCTGCCGACGCTCTGCCTGCCCATACTGCGGCCATCATCAAAAACGACCTCAAGCTGGCCCTTCTCATCACGGCAGAGCAACAGCTCCTTGTTCTTCTGCACCTTGCCGCGGTTAAACAGCCTCTTAAACTCCTTCATCGCCTCGCCGAACCCTTCATCTCCGTACGCCTCCTTATCAGCAGACGACCGCGCCGTGATGGCTCGCACGAACCCGTCACGGAGGTGAGGGAAATCGGTATCGCGCACAGGGACGATGCGGAATGCGCTGCGGGTGCCGACCTCCTGCAACAGCGCCGTCCACGTCTCCTCGCCCTCGACGGGGTCGAACAGCTTCTGCTTGAGGCTGTCGCGCTCCGAGGGGACGAGCGTCGTCGCGATGGGGTTAATCTTTTTGGTGAGGTAGTGTTGCAGCTTCGCGACGTCCTGGGTGGCGACGTAGTAGCCGACCATGTATACCTGGATGCTGAGGAAGCTGACGGTGCGGATGCCGAGGCCGACGAGGGTGTATTCTACGCCGTCCGTGTCCTGCACCGTCGCGGCGATGGGAGCTTCCGGGTCGCGGTGGGTTTTGCTTAGGGAGAGGTCGATGGTCCGCGGGAAGTTGGGCACCGTCTTGTTGCCCGTCGGCACGAGCTCTCTGCCGTCTTCGTCATGGATGACGACCTTGCGCTTGGTGCCGGCCTCGGTGGTGAAGGTCTCTGCCGGCACAGAAGAATCGAGTTGGAAGCCGGCGCGCTCGCTCGTGTTGCTGCCGCTGCCATTGTCGCTGCTACCGCTGTCCTCCGCGGCGTTGCGTTTCTTCTCGGCGGCGAGGGCCTTGCGGAGCTTGTTGGCCGTGTACGCAAACGAGACGATGCCGGCGAGGGCACCGGCGGCGAGGAAGTATGTGCGGTCTCGGTCGTAGCTGGAGCGGGCTTCGCCGAGCTGGCCGAGGTTGAAGCGCTCGACGGGGCGGGAGGGCGAGCTGCGCTGGCGAGAGAAGAGGGTGCGGCGACTAGTTCGGACGGGTGGCTGCGGGTGCGGCAGACCCCTGGGCAGGGCCCGGAGAGTGCGTGGGCGGAACATTGTGGTAGAGGGCGTGAATCTGAGTATTAGGTATGCGAGTATGTGTGTGAGTCGTGTAGGCGGCGAGCGAGAGCGCGCCTGTGGTTGAATTGGTAGAGGTCACTCGGTACTATGGACCGTGTGGAGGAACAATAGTCGACAAAGGGGAGTGGGCTGATGGAGATTCGAGATTCTTCAGATGGTGCGGGATGGTCGGGCGGGGACAACCGTCAATGATGCAGTACCTTGAACTGTAGACCCGGGCTTGCTAATTCGACTTCGGTGCCGGTCGGGCAGAACGATTCATGGCCTGGTCATGCGGGCAAGTGTAAGTTGGCCTATTCCTTTGCACAGACTGGCGAGCTACGAAGGCAATGGAGAGAGTCTGATCG